TCCTCCAATAGGTAACTAATAACCAGATTAAATATTAACTAGTTAAATAAATGTATCGATACATGGTTAAAGTTCTCCTGTCAATCATCTATTCATTCATTCAATGTTAATTCACCGCGTTTAAAAAAAAAAAAAAAAAAAAAACAACGGCGGGAACACATTTAAAGCGGTCATAAATATTTAAAACCCAGTTTCCGGTTCCGGGATTCATTTTGTTCGAGGTTGAGTCAAAGAGTACAACTTGCTTCCGTCTTTGCCAACCCGCTTGACACATGCGCAGTAGAGCGAAGAAGCCATCATGGGGGGGGTTTGCTTCCCGCCCCTCTCTTCCCGCCGCTTCAACGTCTCATTGGACAATACCGTCTTACTACGCATGTGCAGAGGAGAATCCAGGAAGTCGGTTAGAAAAACAAACCTTCGGCGGGTTGTTGTTCGGGATGAACCGGAAGTTTTGCTGCGGAGCTGAAATGGAGGAATAATTTTTAATTTTTTTTAAAAAAAAAACGTTTTTATTGAAGCAAAAGTTTTAAAAAAAAGATGTCGTTGTTTACGTTAGCGGCTAACGTGTAGCACTCCTGCTAACAGAGTCAGAACGGACTGGTGACGGTGAGAGAAAGATGTGAGCGAAAAAACACTATAAACCGTACGAAATGTCGACAAATGATAGATATGAACGTTGAATGTAAGATGTCGTTGTCGTTGTTTACGTTAGCGGCTAACGTAAAGATGTCGTTGTTTACGTTAGCGGCTAACGTGTAGCACTCCTGCTAACAGAGTCAGAACGGACTGGTGACGGTGAGAGAAAGATGTGAGCGAAAAAACACTATAAACCGTACGAAATGTCGACAAATGATAGATATGAACGTTGAATGAACGTTGACGTCACTCCTCTTCAACGTAATGTCCTTAAAAAAACACCGTAAAAACACCGTAAAGTTGAATTTATTCTGAATAAACAACGCTTCAAACGGACTTTTCACGTGTTAAAACACGTTGTTAAAAACACTTACGAATACGAAACGGAACAACGAAAACGTAAAGTAGGTTCTTTAAATGATCGAAATCAGGTCGCGGTGTCTGACAAAAGATATTAGGGTACAGAAATAATGCCTCCCGTGGCCGCAAGATGGCAGTGCAACCCAACACAGTGAGCACTCGGACGTCGTTCTGTTCTTAGATCTAATCTGTAAAACGGAATTGATGACCATATAAGGATTGACTCACATTTTGCCATACGGTCACATGTATTTAATCAACATATATATATATATATATATTTAATATTACAAATGTATGTGGATCATTTTTAGTCACACTCATTTACATTCACAGATGGCGTTCTCCGAGGCCGCGTTCCACTTCCTGGTTTCCGTGAAACATCAAAGACTTGGACTTCAAAGCTCGTCGGTCTCACGCGTCCTCCGATGTTGGACTTTCCTCTGAACTGACTGAATACGTCCCCCCGTTGGAGGTGAGTCGCGTCCGTCGTTAATATATATTTGCACTTTATTTCAATACAAAAAAAATAAATAAATAAATAAAAAAGGTAAGCGTTTATCGTAACGTTGAAAAACAAAAAACAAAAACACATGTTAGCTACAGGTAAACGTTAGCGTAGAAAAGGCCGTAAGAAAAAAAATGTCAATAAAATGGAAGTACATCCTGGTCCCGTATCTCCTTCGTCGGTTTGTTGATTTTTTTTTTTTTTTGTTGTATCACCAATTCCCAGTCAAATATTCCTGTAACACCTGTAATCCAACAGGGGGCGGAAGAGGGTCGGGGGAGGTGTGGGGGCAGCACCCCCGCACATGGCAACACAGAGATATTTCTGTCAAAATTGGAACAAAAAAAAAAGTGTTAAAATGGCGACCTCCAGTGGCCCTGCGGTGGTACTGCACCGGGGTCATTACATTTTGACGTCCTCTCTTGTTGACAGGTAGATATAAATTTAATTTTTTTTTTTTTTTGTCCTGGTGAAATCAAAGTGACCCCCCCGAACCAGTCAGCGAGCCCTAGGTTGAGAACCAGCTGCGGGACTAGTTTGTTGACGTCACATGGTTTACCTGACACCTGGTACCGCCGACCCCTCAGACCGGAGGCTTGGTCAGTCCCACGGACAGACCGACGACCAGTGCGACGACGGCGACGAGGATCAGCAGCGCGAAGGCCAGGATGATGTACTTCTGTTTGAACAGAGAGGGCGCTGTTTTACCCGCACCTGGTCACACCAGGAACTGAAAAGACGCGAGGACCTGGACCAGGACCAGGACGGAGCCCTTACCCGTCTGGACTTCTTCTGGTACCGTACGGCCTTCTTGGTCTCCTCCTTGGCGCGGACGATGTACTCGGCGGCGTTGGAGACGTTCGTCTCGATGTTGTTGACCATGTCGCCCTGCGGAGAATCGGAAACTCTTCAGAGAGGCTAGTCTGTGGTTTTGAAACGGAAACGGCCCATTCTGGCCTGCAGGTGGCGCTAGGTATTGAACATCCTAAAAGCGTCTCCACAAAAATGTCCTCAAACCAAACCTGAGTGAGAGACAAAACGGACACCCTCAGGTGGCGCAATAGCTTAACGCTCCACCAGGGGGCGCTCCTCTCACCTGCGTCTCCACCAGCATGGCCATGTCCATGAACATGGCGTGAAGCTCTCGGATACTGGTCTCCAGACGGATGATGTCCTGGTGACGGGACTCGATCTCGTCCACCGCCTGACGTGTGATGAGGGAGTCGGAAATGATCTGAGGGAGAAAGAAAAAAAAAAATTTTTTTTTTTTTTTTTTGGGTGGTTTTTGACAAAGACGGCGCCACCTGGTGGCGCGGAGGAGAACGACAGCAATGCTCACGTCAGACGTGAAAATGGTCGGGTTCCCGCTCTCCAACATGGCCTCCAGCTCCTCGTCAGTCGTCACTCGTCCAGCTGGACCGGAACATAGAGTTTGTCAGTGACCAGAACCAAACCAGAACCAGTCCCTGGTCCACATGTGGACCACGTGGACCATGTGGCCCACAGCTTGAGGTAGCGCTGTTGTCA